ACATACCAGGTATCGCCTTCACATTCTTCACATACTTCCTATGTTTGGCCCTTACCAATATATAGTCGATCATCGATCTATGTTCCCCTGACCTATAAGTAATCAATCGCGCTGGTTCCCTTGTGAACCAAGTGTTCCCCACCACCATGCTGTGTGCATCCGCTAACTCCAACACTCTACGCCCTTCCTCATTCCGTATACCATATCCCCATCCCCCATGTACACCTTCATATCCGTCTGCATCCGCCCCCACATGACCATTCAAATCACCCAACAACACCACAAACTCATTCAACCCCGCTTGCCCAATTTCGTCAGAAACATCATCATAAAACCTATCCTTCTCCTCTTCCTTCCTACTTTGTTGCGGAGCATATCCTGATATCACCCTCACTATTACTTTTCCAAACACCATCACCACCACAATTACCCCATTGCTTCTCCGCCTCACTTCCAACACCTGCTCCAACAACTCTTCTCTTACCATCACACCAACTCCTCCCATACCATCATCCCCCTTCCACCACAACTTATATCTTCCACCTTTAGCCCCCACAAACCTTGTACCCTCACCCTTCCATCTGACCTCCTGTAATGCAGTCACGTCAACCATTCTCCTCTGCAGCTCCTCCACCACTTCCAAACTTCTTCCTGTCAACGTGCCTACATTCCAGGTACCAAACCTCCAACCCCTTGGTCTACAAGTAGTCCTTCCATCTATAGTGCCTTGCACCGCCACACTATAGAGTGGGGTGCCAGTAGCCAGACCATCCACAGGGCCTTGCACCACAACCCCATCGACTGGGTCTCCGGAGATTCTTCGCACCCTCTTCTGCCGGATACTGAGGGCCATTGTTTTCTCCGTCATCATCATAAGCATTTATTATTTGGCTAGTTTTTACACAGGACGCCCTTCCTTACGCAACCACAGTTATAAGCGGTGGGCCTAGCCTTTGATGATCCAACATCACTCACAAGGCAGTGAGGGTCAGTTTAATGTCATAACCAGGACGCCCAAATACACCCAATAAATCCATTTTTATAACTTAAAGTAAGGAGGTTAAATATTCAATCAGATGTAAAACAATTAAATAAAACACGACAAAATTAAACAAAGAAAGCATCATACCTACATTGATCTGCATAAGTTTTCTATATATTTTTTAAATTCATTATATCCGGAAAATTTTTTCTTACCTAGTTCCAAGGAATTCCAAAGACGAATTCCTCTTACCGCCCAGTATCTAGCAGTTAAATCAGTCATTGGTATCAACAAACCTTTTTGCCTAGTGTTTGTTAACACCGTTTCAAATGAGCCTAACATGTTGAACTCAGCATCATATAACACTCTATAAACGAAACACAAGGTTAGATACCTATTAAGCTGTTCAATACTGAGGATACTATTATCGGAATATATTGCCAGTGTATGATCAAGGTGTTTCAGAAAAAAACTAACCCTAAGGTATCTTTTTTGTACTATTGTCAATGATTTTATTAAATAATCATAAGAAGCTCCCAAAAAACATTTCCATATAAGAGATATGGATAGATTAGGGAGTAATATAGCATTAACATGATTTTAGTACCTAATTTATTGCGTGATCTATAAATAATGCCAGTAATTTTATATAATTTGCTTACCAACGAATTTATATGCTCATTCCATTTCAAGTCAGACTGGATAATAATTCCCAGAAATTTAGCTGACGAGTTTCTGGATATCACTGAGTCACCTATGTGAATGGTTAGGCCAGAGAAGATATCCTTGTTCGTTTTGATTTTAGGGCCAAAGACTAAATAGCAGGATTTTTTTGAATTCAGAACCAACCTGTTTCCAGTGAACCAGTTGGAGAATTTAACCAGTTGGTTATTCATTTCAGAAAATAGTCTTATCGGGTCTTCGTCAGACGAGAATATAGTCGTGTCATCAGCAAATAAAATAGTGGTACACACATTTGATATTAAAAAAATATCATTTATAAACAGAATAAACAAAAGCGGTCCCAAGATTGAACCCTGGGGAACTCCAGAAACTATTTCCTTGGGCAACGATTCGACACCTTCAATACTGACATATTGACACCGATTGTATAGGTAAGACTTGAACCAGCTCAGTACTATACCTCGAAAACCATACTTAGACAGTTTATACAATCAAATATTGTGGTCAATTAAATCGAATGCCTTGCTTAGATCTATAAAAACGCCTAAGCTAGGCTTCCTTGAATCATAATTATCTAGGAGAGTCCCATACAGCATAGCAATAGCCTTCTCAGTTGATGACTTGGGAACGAAGCCAAATAGATTTCCATTAATCATTCTGTGTTTAGATATATAAGACCACATTCTATCAAACATTAGTTTTTCAAAAATTTTTGAAAATACTGATAGAATCGATATAGGTCTGTAGTTACCATATTGATTGCAATCACCACCCTTGAAAATAGGTAGTACCTTTGCCAATTTCAGTCTATTAGGGAACTGGCCAACGAGGATTGATTTGTTGAATAAAGTGGCAATTGAACCAGCTATGGGGTAAATAGTACCCTTTAATAATTTTGTGGATAAAAGATCACTGTCAAAACAGTTTTTTAGTTTTAGTCTATTAACAATCATTATCACCTCATCAGGCGATGCATCGGTTGAGAAGAATGATGGAAAATCATGATCCATCATCATCGAACTGTTCAGATTAAATTCTGTAGTGTTATGACAAATAAGTCTATTACATTGATCAATAAAAAATGTGTTAATTTCATTAATTCTATTCAATTTTGTTAACGAATCCTTACATTTGAATAGATGTGTTTTGTCAATTTTTGGTCTTAATATTTTATTTATTTCGGACCATTTTTCTTTAGACGTTTTACTTTTTTTAAACTTATTGTCATAATATTCTTTTTTTTTAACTCTCTTTAGTTTAATAAAATAATTTTTTGATTTAATATATGCGTTTTTATTCTCTAATGTAGGGTTACATATATAAAACCTATATAAAGCATTCTTGCGCAAACTGTAGTTATACAAGTTAATATCCATCCAAGGTTTTCTAAAGCGGTCCTTTTTGGTGACTATTGGACATGCATTATTAATACAATCCAAATAGGTTAGAAAAAAGTTTTCATAATCCGTCTCTAAGCTGGTATCATCAGTCATAACAGGCCAAGAAACATCACCAAGAAGTTTATTTGCTAATCTCACATTTTCGTCCTTCATTACACGGGTTCTTACTGGTTGGCGCATGCTCACAACAGATTGTCCACCCCATTTCAAGAAACAAAAATCGGCATATGATCTGAAAAGTCTTCACATATGATGCCTTTCAATAGTTAATGATAGTCATTGGTGAAGATATTATCAATTATAGACATAGCAGGGTAAAATATACGAGTTGGTTTATTTATAATAGGATGTAAGTCAAATCCACTTAGGAGATCCAGGAAAGATCGAGACGTATTATTATCAATTGCCAGGTTGATATTGAAGTCACCCAGGATATATGCATTAGAACCATTATCTATCTTTAGATGACTACTCAGAAACTCATATAAAGCTTCGAAAAAATCAGCTGTTTTTATTGTTGGACATTTATAAATACTAATAAAGTATTGATTACTGTTATTATAACTAGTTTTAATACCTGACCATTCAAAGTGATTAGTATTAAAAGATCAATCGTTATTTAAATTTAGGAAAATTATATCACTCTTTAATAAAATTCCTGTTCCACCTCCTTTCTTGGTAGTTCTATTATTGATTACCAAGGTATGATGTGGCAAGTGTGCATGAAGCAAATCGTGATTTGCATTATCATTCAACCAGGTCTCACTTAAAGCAATGACACAAAAATAAGACCCAATACTATTCACTAATTGAGTATTTTCTTCAAGATGAGCATTTAGACTACGGCAGTTAATATGCATTACAATTAACTGATATTTACCAATGCTTAACAAATTTTTATACACATCAGCGATTGTGAAATACTTAGACATTGAATTAAATTTATAAATATAGGACATATTATCATCAAAATTAAATGATCTAAACAAATTGATATTATAGTTGTTATACCAATTCATATTACTGACACCTAAATGATTGATAGAATTTACATTATCATTCATATTATGATACATAACATTTAGATCTTCATTCATATTATCAATATTAATATTTGGAGA